GCCAGCCTGGAAGGCAGCGCCTTCGGCAGGTTGGGAACAGAGGCCACATTCACGGCCAGCTTCGGAGCCCAATGCAAATAAATCTATATCCCAAGTTTTGGAAACATATTTTCCTATGTTTTATTTGGGTTTCCACTGTCTTTGCACTCGTGTGAATGGTGCAAATTCATCCTCTAGAGATGCTATGTAAAACGCTAGCACTGGAAACACCCCTGCAGGGTGGTTTGATATTTCTGGGTCCTAAAGTCCTGGGATAAGGGCTTATTTAAGCAAATCATCTACGGAATGGGGCCCTGACCTTCCAAAGTAAAGGAAAACCAGCAGCAGTGCCTTTAAACCTTAACCTAGGAGCTCTGGGCTGGTTTGCCCTTCTTCTTCAGACTTGGCATCTGTTTTCCATGCTCATCCTCTGTGCTGCACCTGAAGCAAGGGAAGGGGCTGTCTCCTAGGCTTGGGCACACAGTGCCTTTCCTCACCGGCTGAGCTCACTGGGACGACTAGAGCTCCCCGGCTGGGAGACCTGGTCTGAAATAAAATCTTTGCCTATTGCCCAGCCATACCAAGAGGAAAGCTGGATGTGGGTACAGATTTTGTAGATATACTGTAGCCAGCTTAGTGCTGTCTTTCTGGGGGTGTTTGCATCTGGATGCAGTTAAGCTTTAGAGGTAGAGCTTGTCTCCTCATAGCCTCTCCCAGCTCAGCAATAACAGAGGGTTATTTATATCACAAGGGTTAACGGAGGATTAATTACATTGCAGTGCCGTGATCTGGAGCAATTTTGGAGCTTTGAATTGACCAGAAGAACCTCAAGGTGTTCTTGCAATATGGGAAGTATTTCCAAAAATAGCAGCTTTTTGGAAACCCTGGACACTGCTGGAAATGTCCCAGTCACTGATGTGGTCTGTCCGATTTTAAGACAAGATTTCCAGAACACCAATAACACTAGCCTTTCCTCTTCAGCGTCTTCCTAATTCCATTCCTAAGGGGTAAGATTCAAACAGTTTCCTTTCTTCTTTTACTTCATCTTCTCTCTAATCTCTAGTACTTTAAGGGAGGAATCTAACCACTAGTAAACTCTGACTCAGATCAGTGCACGGGAGAGTTTAATATGCCTTCTTATGTTATTAAATTCATGCAGGCTGAAAGACAGATTGGGATGCAAAGAGGTCATGGGTGGATGGAAAGGGCTTATGTTATGTCATTTGCCTCATGAGATTAGAGAAATCTAGCGAGGTGAAAATTGAGCTTTAGGTAGTCGCTTTTGGAAGTGGCCTTCTGAACACAGAGCTATCTAAGAAGCTGGAGACATCTCCTACCTCTTTTCATTGCCGTACGACTTTTGTGCGACTTTTGCATGCAGTATCAGGACTGTCTGGTCTGCCGGCAGCTGCAGGTACCTACGCACGCCGTCCCGAAGCAGGTCAGTTTGGTATGAGTTAGATCTAAAAAACAGTGGTCCCATAGCACTAGTAACACCAGACCTGGGCTCTGCGCCTTGATAACAAAATAGCCCTGTGCTGAGCAGAGCAGTCTGGATGCTGCCTAATCTCTTTGCTCACTGCACCACACAGCTAGACCTAGAATAATACCCAGAACATTTTAAAGGTCATTTTGAGACAAGTGCTCTCCCACCACTTGTGTCCTCTCTCAGGTCAATGACTTCTGTGGGGAGCTGTCATTTTGGTGACCCTCTGTCCAGTGTCCAGCCTGATGGCACAAGGAAGGAGAAGAGGAGCCAGCGTTTCTGTTGGAAAGGCCTGGAGGTCACAGAGCATCTCTGCTGCTGTAAGACCAGGGTCGTTGCTTAAAAAAAAATCACGTTTGGATAACTAAATAAGCTGCTTCATCAGTTTTCGATCAAACACATGCAGGGGGCTATGCTCATAGCTTTGAAACGCTTCTTTCTAGGACTTCCAGCCGCACAGGGTGGTGGCAGTGCTTTAACTGAACGTTAATGTGTTTCTCAGCCTGATGTAGTCACCTGATAAGTTTCTGTGTGTCTTTTTGATGAATCAGGGAAACGGATGCTGCGGAGCAGTGAGCGCATTTAGGGAGCTGCCATGCAAACAAAAGTTGCTGTTTTGCTTCTGCCATAGTTGTTGGATGGAAATAGTTGCATTTTTCTCCCTGAGACCTAAAAAGTGGGTGATTTTGCTGGCTCTTCCTGCTCTACTGGCTGGAAGAAGTTCCCACACACTGGGCACCCAGCTCATACCTCTGCTAACCTCACAGGTTGGGTGCCGACAGTCTGGGGAGAGAAGAGGGGGGTCCCAGTTGCCCCCACTACCCTGCTCTGCCACACAGGACACTTGTGTCAGAGCAAGGAGACCACAGAAGAGGGTTGAGGGGATTTACCAGGAAGACCTTTTCTGGTGTTGATTTGCTTTCTCAGGAGGTGAGCTCATGCCCTATTGAAGGCCTCCTTAGCCCACCGAGTGCCTCTGAATGAGAAGACGTTAGAGGAGAGGAAAGGGGCAGCTGCCAGGACAGGAGCCCCTCAGTGCACCTGCTGACACTTGGCACATGGCAGCTGGGTACAGTCTGTAGCAATTGCTCCTGCCAACAGGACCCAGCTTGGCTGGTTATGAAAAAAGCATGAGCATGACTTAAACCTGAACTCAGTTATTCCATGTGCTAAACTTCCTTGCCTTGCTCCAAAGGGATGTTTGTGCCTGTTGATATTTGGGCCATGGCTCTCCGTTTCTGCTCTTCATGCAGAGAGGATGTTTTTGGGCGCACCAGGATAAGTAACAGGCAAACCAGATTTGGTTTCCTCAGAAGCGAGCGCTGTGAAAACCGGTTCCAGACTCTCCCCAATCTGCTGGGGTCACTCATGACCTTCTGCTCTCCACAAAATTATGGCCTCACCTCAGAGACAAACAGCAGTGGTCAAAGACGTTCACTACGAAAGCTCCCAAGTGGCTTCCCAGTGCACAGAGCTGCTCCTTGCCTCCCAAGCCTCATCTCCCCACATGACATGCCGCAGATGAAGGCTGTGAAGCACCAAGCAACAGCTGCAAATGCATTGCTGAGCCACCAGGAGAAAATGGCAGGAGGTGCTCAGAGGAGGAGAAGCTGTGAGGATGGGGGGCTTCAGCCCGTAGAGCCATTAAAAAGTCTCTGTACCTCTTAAACATGCATCACCCTAGCTAGAAGCTGAGAGTAACTGAGGCATAAGAGATCAGACATGTGCGGAGTTATAAATCTGGTGCTGGGCAGGACCAGCACCAGACCTTGCACCCCAAGGTAGCATGTGGTGAGCTGCCCACATTGCAAGCTGCCTCAAATCCTGGGAAGAGAAGCAACAGCCACTGCCAACCAAGCAGCCTTTTAAGAGAGTTCACCTGTCAGTTTTCCTCCTCTCAGTGCAACAGAGGCATTTTTAAAAGCCCTTTTCAGCTTTTTGTAACTGTGTTACAGTTAGCCTCAAACTTACATCCCTTCACTTCAGCCTTGCCAACTCATGAACAGCGCTGATGCTCTCCTGTTTGTACATGAAAGGCAAACGCATCTCGCATGCAAGTAAGTACTGACCCAGCGCCTCCTCTGATGGCAGGCAGTCCCACTAGGATCAGCTCCTTTGTGCTCCACAGATTTTCTCACCACTGCTCTGTTCAGTTATTACCTAGCTATATAGATCTCCTGTCCTTCTTGTTCTCCGTGCTTTATCCTAGATGTGTTAGATCACCAGCAAGCATAAATCAACAGAGCTCCACGAAAATCACATTTACAGCTGGTGCCAGTGTCACCCATAGCATTACGTGCTGCTCTGCATCTGAGACATGAATGTTTTATGGTGACAGCAAGCCTGTTCCAGATTACGACCTGCAGAGCATGAACTGCAACCAAGTCCAGCCCCAGGAGACAGCCTGGCCCACCAGCTCTCCATACAGCAGCTCTCTCCGGGCCGTGCCGCTTGCTCGCTGCCAGCAGGCAGTGCCTTTGCCAGCCAGTTCTGCCTAAGGCACCTGTCGGATCACCCTGGAAAGCTCCCCCAGCTGGAAAGCTGTGCCAAGGCTGGATCTGTTCCCTCTGACCCTTCATCATGAGGCAAGGAGATGCCTGCTTTCTGTCTTGGTGGAGCACCATGAGCACCTTAAAGGTGAGGTTTTACCACCTGGTTTCCCACCAGTGCACTACCAAGGCAGCACTGGTTACTTCATCTTGCTGAAAGGCTTAATTTCAGCCTTTCTGTCTACTTCATGGTTTATACCCTTGCACAACTGAAGATCTCTAACAGGAAAGCTAGCTAATCCTCTTCCATAACAGCAATATCATGTCTATCTCACTACCTTGCTGCCACGCAATTTTGCAATGTAAGCTTTGATTGGCCTTAGACACTTTTCCATTCTATCTGCAAAAGTCTTTTTGGCAGCACTATTTCTGATCATGATCTGGATACATATTGGTATGGACCATGGAAAAGGTTGTCCATTGGCCTGACCTCGTCTGTTCTTTTGTGTTAACACAACACAGTGAAAAATGAGAATAAATCATTGCTGGCTCCGTCCAGTAGCATTTCACCCTCATTTTGTCAGCGACAGTGAGCATAGCACAGCGGAGAACCAGGCTAAGGCCTGCTGTTTTTCATGGTGGGTCTCATCCTCCAGTATTCAGTGCAAAATGAGGAGCAAATCTTTGGGTCCTTGTTACCTCTCAGCTGCAGGAACATATGCTGCATCCAGAGAGCGTGGCCCTGAGGAAGGGCTCAGCAACAGATTTGTGCCGTCCACCAGCCCCGAAGCACTCGCCGGCATCTATCTGCTGTCTCGGGATCAGCCAGGCAGCACGCTCCCTGCGGAGCTGCTGGGTCACTCCTCCCAGATGGCCGACAAGCAGAGGCAGGTACCGTGGAGGTGGCAACCACGGCCGCCAGGAGAGGCCTGGAGCCTGCTAGGAAAATCTTCAGCTTTTCTGAGAAAATGCCCGTTGCCAGCCGGTGGCAACGCAAGGACGAGGTACGTACAGGCAGCTGCTCCCCCGGCCAAGACTTTACCTGTTGCAATGGCAGGGTAAGGAAGAGGCTTGTACCGAGGCGAGGCAGAGGCAGGGAGTGTTCAGGTATGAACAGCCAAAACCTGGGGATTAAGATGTGTGCTGACAGCACGGCCAGCAGCAACACCTGCTCCGCAGACCCTCCCACTATGCTGGCTCGGGGCAGGGCCGGGCTTGTGCAGGTATCGTTGCTCCCTATCAGCAGTACGTAATACCAGAGGCATGTGGGTTACTGCACAAAGCTTATTAAAGAGCCTTCTGGAGTAATTATGCACATGCTATTTACTACTTAAAATGGGATTGTATGTGCCAAAGGCAAGTAAACAGACCCTACTTCTTCAGATTTGATGCCTAGCCGGATTAACCATAATGACTACTTAGATACTTGGGTTTTTTTCTCCTTGTCCTTTCTCTGCAGCCATCACTTTACAAATTTTGGGGCTAAATTGTCTCAGTGACGCACTTCTGAACAGTGCTAACCATTCTGACCGTGGAGGCGACCACCCAGCATCCGTCATCTGGTTTAAATTTACCTTCAGTAAGTCAAAGGGCTATTGCTAAAGGAGCTCAATATACCTACTTGGCTCTTTTTGGCACCTACAGGCTGTTCAGAGTTACAGGGAATTATTCACTCCTTCTGACATTTATTATATTAAATTATTAAAATGCTTTGATTGTAGTGCAGTGTTAGTTCAGTGCCGTGTTAGCAGCCCTGCATGGGCCGGGCTCTCGGAGCTCGGGCTAAAAGCCTCCTTTTCAGAGCCTGAATTCTCAGCTGGGAATCAAATGCTTTTGCACAAAGTTAGGTATTATGTGGAAGCAAAGTGAGAGGCAAGGGGTGGGGAGGCATTGCCTCCCTCAGCTCTGCGGGCCGTGACCTCTTTGCTTAGCTGGTTTCTGCAAGCCCTTTCTCCCTCCTTAAGCTGACAGCATTTGCCTCTGAGGGTGTTTTCCACCTTTTGGAACAGTCGTTTCAGGAATAATTCAGGAGAGGGTGTGAATGCAGTCTGAGGTGCATCTCCCCAAAGGCAGAGATGTAACAGCAGCACCCAGACCCGGGTCACCCGCAGGTGTTCGCCAGCCTTGGCCATATTGCTGTGCAGGGCCTTCGTTCACGCGCAACGCAGCAGATCTGAAGCAGCGACTCCTACGCAGTCCTGGGTGGGTATGTCACGAACACCCACTACCATGCTCACCGCTCGCCCTGCACGTGCCATCTGCTGATAGCAGAGGCCACGCACTGGCACTCCAGGCTGCTGCAAGATCAAGGAAAAGCAGCGCCCTGTGCGCTTGTTGTAGGAGACACAAGGTTTGACCGCGTCATTAAGGGAGGACTGTTTTACATGGGAACTCAGGGAACCCGCACAGGGGCTGACAGGCCTCGGCGGGGTTAGACCCTGCAGCCACATCACTGGTTTTAGGAGAGATGACGTTTGATGCTGAAGCTGAAAATGAGCCATCATCTTT